AAGCTTGGAAAAAGAAGAGAAACTAATTTTTAGCATATTATTAACTTTTTAGCATCATGATGATTGAATGTGAAGATAAAGTCGCATGCAAGTGACCCACATTGAATAAGATAAAAGAGGCATATATGACGGTATGGTACCAGTTTGCTAGCAAGTATGCCTGCAGGAATGGAAATGTATGGTACAATAGGATCTGATAGTACAAGATACTTAAGTAGCTGCTCAGCCTGGTTTTGGTATGACTTTAGCGACATGATTTCTCGTTTCAATCTTGGGTTACAGCATGCTACAGAGTCAAAAGAAACAATATAGCCCCAATGTCTCCAAATTCTTTAACTTCTTCTCTACCTCATTACACCTGTCCACAAAATAATACGTAAGCAGCATAACCAAAATAATGGAGGATACTAGAGATCACGGGCAGAGTTAAGAACAGCTAAGAACCATCAGTGAACTATGACAAGTCAAAGGTCTAAGTGGAAATGCATGACACATCGTATTATCATCATCTGCTATTCCATTATTCCCCGTTTTTAGTTTTATTCTATGTATTATCCTACAGAAGAGTGCAAAGGGAGTTCACAAGGAGTTGGAAAAGAGAGACCTAAAAATTGATGAAATTTTTATGGATTTTGTTTTTCTAAAAAATGCTGATGGCGATAATTCAAATAACAAGAGCATTATTCACATTTCACAATTCTATAGAGGTCAACCCAAAGCATTAGGAGAAACCACAGTGAATCAGAAAGTATCGGGAAGTTTCCCTTCAAACAGATGGCTAGGGTCGTGTTGTGGCAGTGTTCTCTAAGAATCCTAGTTTAGGAACTGTGGTTGGTGAGTAATTATAGGCTTATCAAATTTAAGGCTTCCTTGTGAAGCTTCACTTCTGTGATTAACAAATATTAATTTCCCCTTTTCTATTAGTTGACAATGGAATGGTCTCCGTCTACCATCCAAAACTCGTCTAGGTAAAATCCCTTTTTTCCAGTGCCCACTGGACGAACCTTTTGCAAACCTTGCATTTTACTTGGGTTATCTAATTAAAAGTTTTGGTTTCCTACTAATTTAAGAGGGAGAGTTCAGAAAGGGCTGTTATATCTTAGGGTACAGCATTTGATATTCTTCTTAATCATACAGTCCGTCAGTGTGCAAAAAGAAGAGCACAGAAGATAAATTCCTTAGTCACTAGAGAGTAATATTAGTATTCCAAGCTTGAATATTCCTCATTTATATCTTTGAGTAGAGACTGCTTAAAACCCCAAAACCAGGAAGAACACACAGAAAAATGCAATTGAGACTCTCACATGAAGTTGATGTTCTTTCAGGATCAGAGCTGAAGTTTTAACTGACTCTCTTGCATTCCATCTCAGATCAAAATGCAACCTAATATCTATGATTGTCTAAATAGAACAGTACACCTATCAAGTCTCTGCTACAGGATTGTTTCATCGAAAGAATAAGTAATTTATAATTCAAAAACTCATCAGCTCTTGCCAACATTGAAGCAAAATAACAAGTGAAGATTTTAATTTTAGCTTCTACTGGTAGAAAATTGGGCATACACATAAAAGTTAAAACTATGAGGTCTATTGCTTAGCAATCCGCCAACCAGATATAGATAAAATATTGCATGTTAGGGCAATATTGCATGCTGATTGTTACGCACCGAAACAATATTGCACACTGCTACTACTGCTAATACTGCTAATAAGTAATAACTTATCAGAATCTTTGTCTTCAAAAGCCCTAAATGTACAAGTACAACCAAGCTTCTAAAATCTCTCTATCACTGGCTGATCATACCAAGCACCTCCTCAACCAACATTTGCAAGCATAACAACCTCAGCCAGGAAACTAAAAGATAATAACCTCGAACACAAGCACTGTGAATTAGCTTCAGATTCGTATGGTATGTTACACTTATCAAAAAAATAAAAACACGAAGAAGATCGTCCAAGAACACCA